AAAAAAAAAGAAAAAAATTCAGGAAAATACTAGGAAAAATAATTACCGCCTCGTTTCTGCCGCCACCAATGCCGCCCATTCCGCCACCCATTCCGCCGCCACCGCCACGACTTGAAAAACGTGTGCCACCTTTGCGGCCGCGAGGTCCACGATTACCGCCACCGCCTCCGCCGCCTGGTGGGTTTCTCTCGCGTGGATTCTCGTTGCTGTTCTCTGCTGGTGTACTCGCCGCCTCTGACTTCACGTTCGGAGTCTCCGTTCCGGCCATGGTTGTCAGAGAGGGTTTCTTCACCGTCGTCTCCTTGGCTCGTGTCGCCAGCGAAAACCTCAAGCTTCCCTGCGACCGAAATCTTCCTCGTTGTTCCGTCGTCCGGAAGAAACGTACACTACGGCGTCCAACAGCGAAGAGAGAACGACGAGTGCAGTCGCGACGATTAATACAGCAACTTGGTCCCCCTCCATACTACTCGCGATGCATGGTGGGACGCTGAACGTGGTGAGGAATTGGCCGAACGCTGGTCGAGACGCACGGCGATTGGCGGGATTGTCGAACCAGCAGAGCTGCCACGTATCTCCGATACCGGATGTTACTGTCTAGGGGAATAGCAATGGTATCGTTTGGTTCATACTGCGGTCGATAGGGGCCACTACGTATAACAAATTTTTATGTACAAAGACATGTCTATCTATATATACGTAATATACATGCCTTCGCACTTTTCATTTAAAATTTTTAGTATAACGTTTAGATAGAGTTGCGTGATTGACTATTGTGATAAGATATCACATCCTGCATATAAATTTGTTGTTTTTACGCTTTGTATCCGATATTGTGATCATCAGAGAAATTGAGAAAATGACGAAAAAATATTCATTCCCTAATATAATTTTGGCAGGTAATAAAATATTATGTTCGATATTAGTTTACTGCGACAATTTGATTACATATAACTGGAATACTAACATAATGTTGTCCAAATATATTATTTTGATAACTAATAAAACATATTTTTCAAAGTATAATATATATATTATAGTACATTATAATAATGTACTAGAAAACATTTGTATAAAATTAATTAACAGCACCCTATAAATTTGCAGATACGAAGCATTGTACGTTATCACTCAACGTGAAGTATGTGTGAATCTTGATAAATTCGCTGATTCGGCTTTCTTTGAGTCGTCGTTATCGAACGACGATAGGTGTGACCTAATGCTTCCGATCTGTCACCTAAATTACGTAGCTCGGCCGCATCCGTTCAACGGTGAGTACAGGCACGATCGCAATGATCGAAAATCACGAGAGGGTTTAGCGTGCTAATAAATTCCCGAGCGATCGTCTACACACATATCGGGTATTCGTATCGCGATTTAAGTGGCGAATTAGATCATCGTAGCCGATGATCTAGAATGATTGGTAACGCTTGAATTTTTCGTTGTAGCATGTAAAGAAAATAGGTATAGCCAGCTCTCGATGAGAGTCTCGCGGGAATTGCATGTAGTTTTGTTATGTGTGTCACACGTAACAATCAGGACGATTCCCTCAAGGAAAGTAAATTGCATTGCAAACGTCCGCGATGATCTCGGAAACTATTAGTATGCAACATCACACACACACACACACACACACACACGGTGTATAATAAAATCTACCTCGCAGCCAGATAAAATCGGCACGTATACAGGACCCGTACTTTCGGGAGGCTCGTATATATAATTAGTAATGCAGATAAACGAGATTGATACTATCAACAATATCAAAACTATCTTTTATCTTAATTTTAGATCGTAGATCGTGTAATTATGTGAATATTTTATGTCTACGATCTCTATGTATTCGAAAGATGAGTTTCTATCCTAAATAATCTTTGGATTTTTTCTTTGTAAATCGAAAAGATACATTAAAAAAATCATAAATGTATCTTTTGTAATTCATAATTATTTTTTGTGTGCGCTGAGTCTCTTAACTTTTCTACAAATTTAATTGTCAACCACATTTTACATCCATTTCTCTTTCTCTCTTTCTCTCTCTCTCTCTCTCTCTCTCTCTCTCTCTCTCTCAAATGATTTTTAAAGAGCTTAAAATCATCGTTTATCCACCTGTTGTGACGCGAAAGTACTAAGACTTCAAATAAAAAAAAATTGGCTTCATTATAGAACGCAATTAAAAGATGATAAGAGGAAAGCGAGACAGGAAAGGGGAAAGAACGCGCGTTGGAAGTGTGGTATATATACAGTGTCCCAGATCTATCGGATAATAATACTTTGGAAACTTTTCGAACAAATTGCAAGTAACTTTCCTTGAGGCAAGATTTTGTGTTATAAACTGTGAAGAATATCAATTAAATTTTTAGAAATTATATATATGTAAATATTAAAAAATCCTTATTCCTCTTTCATTTAAAATTTAAAATACTCCTTAATCCAATAGAACTCTCTTTTCTTCTCTTTCTCTCTTTAAAATTTAGCTATTAAAATATTTAAATATTTGAACTATATATTGGAAAGTTTTAATTTCCTTCCACTGTATGAAATTTATCCCCAAAATATAGCTCTAAGCCATATAATATATATAATTGCTTATATTATATTAATTAATGTGTATATATTGATTAGTATTATATGTCAATTATTTATAGAATCGCAATATATGTTTATGAGATATATAATCTAGTAATTTTTCTATAAATGCAATAACATAAATAATATATAAATATTCCCATAATCACTCCCGTAAAAATATATCTCGTTGCGGAAATGAAAAAAATTCAATGTCAATGAGTATCAATGATAGCTGTTAAAAATATTACGCTGTGAGATAGGAACATCCCGTAGAAGAGCGGAGGAAGCAAGGCGGGACAGGCAGGAGCGTAAACAAGGAGAATGCATCGCGGTGGTGGTACGACGGGGTACGAGGGCGAGGGGTTGTACCCGTCGCTCATGCGCGCTTGGAACCCCGCCCTGTCGCTTCGGACCACGGCCTGTCCTGTCGAGGACTCTTCGCCGAGGTGGTCGAATAGTCACGCTTTAACCCGCGATCCGCGAGGCGGACAGCACTCGCCAGGAACGCGCAAGTGCTCGTAAAAGGAAGGAGGCCCCGCAAACATCCCTTCGGGCCCCTGTCTGTCGCGCTCGCGAGCCTTCACCGTGATACGTTTTCTTCTACCCCGAATAGTGGAAAAATATCGATACGAAAAAGGCACCGCAAGTTTGATTATGGTGTGCATTGTTCCATGAACCGAGGAAGGATCGACAGTGGTGGCAGATCGATTATCAAACAGACGGGGAGTCGCGTGTGACGGGAATTTCAGGATCGATGTGACCGGCACCGATGCCAGGAATTCTGGCTGCGTGGCAACCAGTTGCGAATGCGAACTGGGGTTGAGTATAGAATCCGTATTAAGCTCATCATGAATGATCCTTCGGCGTGAAATCGTATCGGAATCGCTGTCAAAATTCACCGGTGGAGGCTCGCATGGATTTTCAAATCGTAGAGGTGCTTCTCGAGTAATTTACTTTTTTTTTGTGGATCGATCTGGAGAGCGTGGCAGATCGTCGAGACCGCTGTTGATTGCAATTCGAATGGGAAAGCGCTTTTATTCAGCGGAAGAGAATCGCTCTTAATGTTCGCGAACGACCTGATCTGCATATATCGAGGATAGACAACATTGTATCACATCGATCCGGTTGGCATAAGTTTACATACGCGAATCTCTACAACTCCAATATCTTCGTCGTTCAAAATATCACAACGTGCGCCTTAACGATACCAAAAAAAAAAAAAAGGAAAAAGAAACGAATGACACAGGCCTAACTTGGGATCAACGGACTAACGATTTCAAAAATATCACGCGATTTTTTAACGCGTGAACGTCACGCAGCCTTTCTGAAAAGATTTTTACGTGTGCGACGAATTATATACGCGCGCGCATTATCGAAATGCACGTTTTCCTACAAAACAGCAACGGCTGAAAGGTCGTGATCGATCGACTCAATTTGATAACCTCCGAAAGAAGGGGTACCTTAGGGTGTACCGTCATATATAGCGATAAGATGGGAACTGAAAAGTGAAAGAGGTGAGAGAGAGAGAGAGAGAGAGAGAGAGAGAAGTACTCAGAAAAGCCGTACGTGGTCTATCTACGCCACGTCGAGATTTATAAGTACTGCTACTTGAGCGAATATCTTTCGGACCTGAAGATGCAGACGCGGCGATAATCGAATTGACCGCGATCACTTGCATAATGTCGTATCAAGACCGTTCGCGGGAATGGCGTGCTTCGAGCTTCACGTCGCTACATCGATTTCAAGATCGTTTTTCGCAGTATCCCTTAAAACTTGGGGAGAAAGCTCGCGACAATAGAATGTTCGTCGGTCAAACGATAATCGTCAATTAAAAATCTCGAATTAATTGCACTCTCGCCACAAATTATAAATCTCTAGTTTTATATAAAAAAATAAAGAGAATATAGATCGTTCGATGCAACCTTCATCGAGTCATACGACAAAACTACTCGACGACTGCACATCGCATTTTCAAAGGTCGAGCTAGTAGACGGCCTCACTCTCAATGTCTCCTAGATGCGAAAGACGGAAACCCAATCGAGTTCACTGGGTCCCCCGTCCCCTGCCGGACGAGTCATCCACGAGGAAAACGATGGTCGACGGGTGTCTGCTCGACAGTTGATCCGCAGAGAATCGACAACTCCATAAATAAGCACGGCCTAAGCGATGATCGGCCTGTAGATTGGCGCGCTCGATGAATCGTCGCGGAAACGAGCATCGAGAAGCAGCAGCGAGCACCACCCGAACAAGAAGAAGAGGCAGGAGAAGAAGAAGACGAAGAAGAAGAGAAGCTTATAGCCGCGTAGCGTCATCTCCCTATCGAAAGAGCCGCGTTCCGGGTGATGCGCGGAAGTAGCTCCGAACTTCTGCTGGAGGCGAGCTGCAGCCAGTGCCAGAGCGATCACGATCGGAGGCATCGGCGCCGGGACAGCGACGACGGCGGCGGTGGCGACGGGTACGACTTCCACGAGCGGGAGCTACGTCGTCGCAAACTGTTGGAGCTCGGGTTCGGCGCGTCGCGGCGCCGACCGCCACGGCGTACCTGCCGACAGCGGCTTAACTTCTACGCCACGTCGGCCCTGGCCTTCGTCGCGACATCCGGCGGCGCGGCGCTTCTTTTCCTGGTGCCGCTTTACGTCGATCCGGCCATTAGCACCCTGGCGGCGGACTTCTCGCCGCAGCCGGTCATCTGCACGACCTCGCGACGCGAGGAACTTGTCGGTCTCTTCAACTGCACATGGAGCTCGTGCCGCGAGGGTTGCACCAGTGACGTGTACAGGTGCACCCACATATATGTCACCTACACGCCGTGGAGTAATGTCACGATGAGAAACGACACCGGCGGCAGGAACACCACCGTCGCGACCAACGCCACGACCGCTCTGGACACCGTCACTGCCGGTAGGATCGCTAAGCCGCCAGTTAGTTCCTCAGTATTTCTCAGTTTTTCTAAATGTAACTGTAAATGAGATAATTGTGTATTTAGCGAAAGGATTTAACGATCAAACGCGCTCGGCGAGATAAAGTACGGAAATTAAATAAATTTAATTGGCAAAGAATTTTTTCGATTTGATCGAAATACATGATACAGAGAAACGTCATATCGAGAAAATAAGAGAGTAAAGTGGAAATTTGAAATATCGTAATACGATCTTGACTTTTCAGAGACATAAAATTATTGATGAAATACATATATGATTTGTATCAAGAGACTAGATATGTGAAATTCAAATTTCCGTCCTCTTTACCACTGTTATTTGACTGTAAAATAAAATGTAACCGCTTGAGAAATCGAAATAAAATTGGAATACTTTCCAATTTGGTAGATCGACATTGCATACCTGCTCGATAAGCGTAAAAAAAAAAGAAAAAGAAAAAGAAAAAGATTCGAATCTCCCCGACGCTAATCTTCGCTATAAAATATCTCTTGTTGAGCAGTATCCTCCCCGGGAGACGTCGAGGCGGTGCTGCTGGTGAACATCAAGGGCTGCGGATACCCGCCGACAGTCGACTGCGAGAACTTCACCCGCGAGTTGGGTTACGAGGGCGCGAAATTTCCCTGCCATTATAGCCGGGTGAACGGTAGTATAGTGATGGCGAACTATAATCGCGAGGCACAGATCACCATCATTATGCACTTCTTCGCGGCGCCTTTCGTAGTGACTCTCGCGACCAGCGTCGCGCTGTGTGTGATGCACTGTGACTGCAGATGCACGCCGCCCCCGCGACACCCCCCGCGCGGCATGAGAAGATCCAAGGGCAACGATCTCAGGTAATTAATTTGTCAGAATCGAAAACACACCCCTTGACAATTTTATTCCACCAAGTATTATATCGGTTTGTCATTATAGTTTAGTAATTACATGCCCATATATTTAATACATACATATTGCGTACGAAACGAGTTAAAATTTGATCTTTTTTGGTTGAATGAGATGTATTTAGAAGTAGAGAGTAGAGTAGAGTTGTGTGTGTATAAAATAAAGGTGCTTTGTAAAGGAGTTTTTCAAAACGCGCTATCGTGCTCGAAGCGAATTCCCATAATGACGACAAGTTACAATGACGAAGCTGAATTGGAGTGTTAATATCGCAATTATTATAATATTACAGCTGCTGCATGAGTATAAAAAATCGATAACGAGTTAGAAGCATGCCGGAAGTCGTCCGTTTTAGAAGGTGTATTTGATGAGGCAAATAAACTTTCTAAACCATACGTAAGACAAAGCGACTTAACAATGAGATGTTACTCCAACGTACTTATCGTCGTCGTGAAACGATGCTAAACTCTTTCGGCTGCGAATACTGCCTTAGAAGGTATCTCAAAGATCATTTTTTCAAGGATTGATTGGTGTAATCTTATTAATCTTCGTGTTCCGTTGTGCATAAGTATTTATATTTATATGATTGCGCGATCAAATTAAACAATTTATTTTAGAATTTTCTCTCTGTTCTATTTATCATATTCAAGAAATCGGCAAGTGATTGATTTTTATTTGACACATTATCGGCACATAATCATCATGAATTTTGCGAGAGAAATATAATCGTAACATCTTCACTGCCGATTATTAAGATATTATTTGAAATGTATTTGCAATTTGCAATATATCTCTCAAATTTCATAAAATGCAAAAGACTTTCTTTAGTCGCGCTTGATTTGAAAACCAATACTCTCTTATCTCATAAACGCAAAAATAAAATAAACTATTGTTGATGATTTTTTTTTTTTTATATAAAAAGAAATGTTTGTCGAATTAATTTTTGAGTTTGAGATTTCACCGCTTTTGCAATATCGTCACTCAGTTGAAATATTTTCACTGGCTTATGTTGCTGACTTTTCTTCTTCAAGGAAGCTTATACTGCATGCAACTCAAGTTTCTTCCGCAAAGTAGTACGGATTAACGTTCCTTCCGAAGCTTCGCTATAATTTATATGCAAAACGCTTTGCTGCAAATATTAGTGTTTTTTGATCCACGACGGAACACGGAGCGCTGCCTTAGGTATAGAAATACACATTTATCATATTATTACAGAAAAGAACGAATCGCAGAAACGGAAATCGGATATCGATTCATCATCTCTCGTAATCCTCCGCTAATTAACACCAAAAGGCGCATTCATCTCATTAACAAAACGAGTGCGCCACCCGAAAGCCGTGACTGCGCTCTTCGTGCAACGCAATGAACATGTGTAAAAAGAGATCTCTAGAGTTATCGATCGGACGCCGTAAGTAATTTCGTGCACTCGGAATAATCGACAGCCCTCACGGTTGATATGTTGCGTAAACGAGCATACAGCCGCTGCGCCTAACTCTGATAATCCATCATTCTTCCGAATGTTTTCTCTCTCCTTGTGATTTTTTCTCCAGTCGCTGAGATAGTCAGCGAAATAGTCATATAAGTCATGCCTTTTCCTCTTGCAGGAAAAAGATTTTATACAAGTATTTTATGTAAAATCTAGTAATTTTCCAATTATCTTATAGCTTTTTCTAGGTTTTTAAACCCCCAAAGTTTTATGTCATGTCTTAAAGTTATTATAAGTATCATATTACCAAAAATATAATTTACAATTGTTGTGACGCATCCGTAAACTTTTTGTCGCACTCATTAACCCTATGTTATAAAAAAAGAGGAATTAAATTTATAAATTAAAAAATCGTATATCCAGAAGCTCTAATATAATAATAATAATAATAATGTTAATAATAATAATAATAATAATAATAATATAATAAAAATATTTGCTGCAGGCTCCTTCTGAAACAGAAAAATACATATCTTGTTAGTATATTAATTTAATTTTTATAAATCTAATATAAATTTTAAAAAAGAAGATACTTACAATTAATTCTTCG